AGCCCCTCCGAGATTAATTTTCTCTTCTGCAAAATGAGTGTATTTATCTACCTACTCAATGAGATTTTTTAGAACTGAATAATACTTGTAACACACGATTATTATGCATTACTGACACTAGGCAAAGTTAGAAAAACGAAGAAATGTACTGCCAAGGGATTATTAACTCATTTATTACACCACATTTCTAGAAGCTCTGTAACCCATAGAGCTCTGTCAATGCATCATTTCTCAGCTAGAGTGCCCTTGCTAAGCTAGTTTCAGGCTCTTGTGCTTAAGTCTGACAAATAAGTCTGATAAAAAAGCATGGAATGTATACAGATTTAGACAGTAAATTTTATACTGAATTTGTTTTTCTCTTTTTTTAATAATTTTTTCAAAGCCTCTATTAACCAACTGCTAAGAGCCTTGAAAGGCTCCAGTAGGATATGGGACCAGCGATAACTGTAAAATTTTAATATCCTCTTTCTAGAAAACAACAGATAGGACTTTGAGATAATGAAAAAAGAAAAGACTGATGCAAAAGAACACATCTTTTGTAAAATGATCATCTGCAATGCTCTAAACTGAAGTACAAGTCTTTGGTCATATCAATGGAAATTCTGGATGATATCAAACCAGATCAAATTTCATAGGGCCAGAAGAATATGCAGTACTGCCATTAGAATTGCAGCATGGTCTGTGTCCATACGAACAAATTGCTTGCCAGTGGTGGCTGTTCAGAAGGAAGAGAAGTTAAAAAAAAATATTGGACAACAATAAGCCTAAATGTAGCAGGGTGAAGAGCAGATGAGAGCAGCTTCACCTCTTATCAGTTCTGTACACGACACCTGTCTGTTCTTAAACAGAATGGGCTGCTTCTACAGCTCTTTATCACGCTCCAACATCCCTGTGAACAGCTAAAGCCTGCCTGAGTTAATTGAAAGTTTTTTAAACCTTAACTGCATGTATTCTCCCACCTCAGCTTTTGGAAACACAATTAGTCAGTTACAACACACAACAAACACAGCAATTTATGTTACACAAAAAGCTTCACACACAGTGTGTGAACACTGGGGTACACATAGTGTACCCCAAAGTTACTTCTTCCAATGGTATCATGCTGACCATGGATATTAAGTTTTCAATGCTGGTTAACTCCAGAGGTGGAAGACGGGTCAGTTTATTTTGAATGATCATGACAAAATCTTTAATTCTGTTCCATGTAATAATGTAATTCAAGGGAGTATTCCGCCCTGTAGAAAACAGGGCTGGACCAGTGAAGCTATTCTCTAAAATCAGCATGATGCACTTCCAAATGACAGTGGAAGCTTTTCAGGGACCACTGTCCCTACTGAGCATGTATTTATGTGCCATCCTGAACAAGGACAGATGTAATCACGTGCTTACATGCTCAGGGGTTTCAAACTTAACACGCGGCATCAAACCTAATGAGTGCTTTGGGCACTACTGTAATAGAAGCAATAGCCTTGGGGCAAGAAATACACCGCTTCATTACGCAGTCTTTTACTAGAGTGTCAGTTCAGATGGACAAAATCACATTATGGACTTTTTTGAAATACTGTAGGTTTTGTGTCAGGGATATTTTAATCCATTCTACCAAAGTTAGTTAGCTATTCATTACAGTGGAGGTGGGTGAAATGACTTCATTTGCATAGTTTTCTTATCCTATTCAGTTTGCACAGTTGAATTCAAATAAAGAAAAGCAGCCCCAACAGCAAAAGGTTAATAGAAATGTACAGCTACAAATGCAGTCTAAAAGCAACACAAAATTACATTTTCAAAAGGGAGTATTTAAAATTATGGCTTGTTATACAAATCTAGGGTAAGCAGTTTTTTTAAGTGAGACAATGGGAATTACCTGAATTTCATAGATTCTTCTGGTCTCCTTATCCAGGTGCAGTTCTGTAGTTTTGTGACGATGTGAAGATAATAGTCTTCTGTGTATCTAAAAAAGGCAACAGCAACAACATCAAACACTAGAATATAGCTGTATATATATTTAGAAACAGTCTCTAAAACATTCAAATGATGAATGTATTAATAATAAATAATGTGCATGGTGCATATATAATAGGTTGCTTTTAGAACTCCATGACCTATTTTATTTTTGTAATTTGTAACAGTACTATCCTCATTTAATTAACCGACCTATTAATCATCTTTTCTTAACAGTGATGCCCTAATGAACTTTTCTTTTCAGAAACTTTCAAAAGTACACTGGTTTCAAACTTCAATATTTGTCCATTAATACCTTCGAGTTATTTGAAATCATTTCAAGTGCAGAAATTCAAAATAATTCAAAAAATCCTCTTATACTTGGTGTTTCAAGACTTCAAAAATGTTTTGAAATGTGACTCTTGCAAGCCAAGATAAAACATTTCTTATGCCTTTTCCTTCACTTACCTTATAGACTCCCTAAAGCCCAGTTCAATCATCTAAGACTACAGACCCATATTTACAGATGTAAATTTCCTTCAAATTATCTCTTACATAAAAACAATCTTGTTCTACAACAAGCAGCACTTTGGTAACCAAAGAGCTTTCGGTTCCTTTTAAACCCTTTCAAGAGATTTAAATTTGTCCATATGTGAAATACTTCAGACCATGTAAGTCAAAAGAATAGAGACATTTCTTCCCTTATAGGTTCAATGTTATTATTTCTTCCATTTGTGCCTGGATCCTAATACAGTTTTGAAAAGGACTGAGGGAATGGGAAAAAGAGATTATATGGATGCAACGACTACTAATTCTATGGCACTCACCTCTCCAGAAAAGATCTACCTTCTATTATTTTAGCAAAACCGGCTTAGTGCTGGCCCAAAACCAAATGATCATGAGTTTATTTAAGCTGGACCTTAGAAGTGTGTATTTTGAACAGTTTTACAAGAGTTATATGGATGGCAAGAAACCTCACTAGTTTTTAAATAGAGCATAAGAATTGCTAAAAAGGATTATTAAAAAGGCTGTGGTGGCTTGCAGCATGAGAGATCAACCTAAAAAGCTTCAGCCTCTCTGTGTTCAACCTGCTTTTAGTACTACAGCTTTACGGTAAATATTTAAAAGAACAGATCCTTTTTTTTGGTTTGTTTCATGGAAGTACTGCAGCTGCTAAAGGTAACTTGTTTATCTACCCCTGAGTAAAATCATGTCCTATTTCCACATGGAAAAAGAAATGAAACTATTAAGAGGAACACTACATTAGAACTGGTCTTTGGCTCAAATTTGCTCCTGTTACACATATGATTTTCATTCTCCAGACTTAGCAGATTCTTAACAGAACTAGATGATTGTGACTAAACCGATTTTACTGAGCTCTTGCACTGCTCAGAGAGGAGGAATGCACAGAAGTGGGAGAAGAGCAAAACTAGTTTCATTGCAGCTGTAGCTGATATGACCTGGTGCAGCTCATTCTTCCTCCTTCCAGTCCAGCTCCAAATCTGTTCTCTCCCTTGTGTCACTCACTGTTGGTACTTACCTGACTCCCCCTTGGTTTCATTTCTGCCAGCTTTTACACTTGTCAAATGCCTTCATAGGACACTAAGTTACTACCACGATAAAAAAAAAAAAAAAAAACAAACCAAAAAACCTCCAACCAAACAACAACCTCAGAAGGAAAAAATATGCATATACATTTTCTTTAGCATATTAAATGAGATCAGAAAAGGTTCCACTGCACACCACAGCCAGTATAAGCAAGGAGTGATGGGAGCAGAGAAACCGGGAACAAGGCTTTCGTATTTTGGCAGCTGCATGCTGGTATGTTGTATTAGCAGCCTTGGAACTGCAGACAGAGAAAATGGAACTGCTTTCTTGCTGAAGCTGCTACCTAAATTGGCTCACCATGGGGTCAGAGAAGTGTCAGTACCAGCAGGGCAGGAAGGGAGTGCATGTGTGGGGAAAGATGGGATAGAAGCACAGGACCAAAATAGCCTATGCTAATGTTTAATCACTTATCTAGTTTTATTCCTTAAGGCTAAATGATAAATAACTCTTAGATGCTGGGACTTACAGACAAATTCCAAAAATTAATAGGATAACAGAGCATGAAGAGTTACTTAGACTATCATTATCCAGGAGGAAAAAAAAAAAACCCAGAAAAAGCAAATTCCACCCTAAAGACATTGGTAAGATGAAGATCAGAGTCAGAAATGAAAAGAAAAATTACCATCAGCTCAGAAAGAAATTGCATGCACTGACAAGTTATTAGCAACTTAAAGGGAAACATTTGGTAAGGAGAAAAATCAAAGCATCACCCAAAATGCTAGTTCTGAAGTTTCATGAGAAACACAGGCACTCACTATCAGAAACTGTAAGGACCTTCTTATACATGTAACAGAAGCTGCACCTATGGTAAAAACACCAATTAACAATGCAAGAACGTTGCTGCCTTTCCACTGCTGTCTACTGGATGGAATCACTCTTGCTCAGAGGTGTCTAAGATCAGCAGCTCACCCAGAAAAGCACCATATTCAGGTTTTTAAAAGGCAGAACACCACCTCCGCTCACCCTGTGACATGTAAAGGCACTATGGACTGTCAGAACTCATCTTCGCCAGTGCTGGCAGAGACATCCCAGCAACATGTGCTAGGGGACCAGAGCTCCCAACCACGACAGGTTTGCATCGCAGCTACATCTGCTCACACCAATATAAGGCTTCCATGAAATGAACTCTACTTTAATACAGAAAATACTCCCATTTTTTTAAAGACTCAAAGTGAAGCTCTGGGATTTGCTGCAGCTGGGTTTACAGTCCAGAAAGCTTTGTTTTCCTCTCAGAAAGCCTATTTTAGCATTCCTG